TATGGCCTGCAACCCAGGAATGTACCCTGGCTGGGAATCGAACCTGGGACACTTTGGTTCCCAGCCCGATCTCAATCCACTGAGCTATGCCAGCCAGGGCTGATGTGAAATTTTAATCTATATTTCCTTACATCAGTGTTTAGTCTTAATTATAATTGTAGACTGCTGAATTTCTTTGGGAGGTTTCATTGTAGACCTCACTATGAGAATCTGTTTAAATAGAAGAAACCTTGATATTGTAGAATGTTTCTTATTGTGTTCCAGTATTATGTAATAATTCATCCTTATAAATTTACTCTACCTAAGGTTGAAAAACTATTTTTTCTAAGGAAAATCAATAAATAAGCATGGGCTGGGAACCTCAGAATTCCATGAAGGAAATATACATGTGTTAAAGAAAAGTATCCCCTCCAGTTTTTCTTTAATGAGCAATATAAGAGTAAATATAAACACATAAAGAGAAACTATAACACAAGATCATATTTTTAAACAATATATGAATATAAGACTATAAGATAAGGTTTCCTTGAAAGGTTTGTGGTCAGTGTCTATAGTGTTTTAGTATTAGTCAGAGTTCTCCAGAGAAACAGAACTGATAGAATACTATCTATCTGTCTGTCTGTCTATAAACTAAAGAACTGGATCATGTGGTTATGAAGGCTCAAAATTCCCCAAATCTGCATTTGGCAAGCTTCAGACCAAGGAAAGCTGCTGTTGCAGGTCCAGTCCAAAGGCCAATAGGTTCAAGAGCCAAGAAGTGAAGTTGAAGGCAGGGGAAAGAAACAGTGTTCCCCCACTCAAAGGCAGTTGAGAATGAGGAGTTCCTTCTTTCTCAGAGTTGGCTCAGCATTTTTGTTCTCTTCAGGCCTTCAACTGATTAGATGAGGCCCACCCACAGTAGGGAAGGCCAGCTGCTTTACTCAGTGGACTGTTTCAAATATCCATCTCATGGAAAAACACCCTGACAGGCACACACAGAATAATGTTTGATTAAATACCGGTGTATACCATGGTCCAGTCAGGTTGATATATAAAATTATCCATCACAGTATTGTTTATAATAAATGTAGAGGCAACAAATAAAAATTCTAGTGCCATAATTGGCAAAAGCTGTTTTGACTTTCAGTTCCCTTCATCCTTTAAAAATCTACAAAACTAATAGTTACACCACTGATATTAGACAATAAGTTTTGACTCACTGTCAGTGATGAGCCTTCATTCATTCATTAATTCACTATATTTCTATTGAGTACATATTATATGCCAGGTATTTTTATAGGTCCTAATATAAAAACCTGTCCCACAAACTCCTCACATATGCCTTTTTGCAGCTAAGTGTTATTCAATACTCTAGATAATCTTTTCTTTAAAAATTAACATGAGCAGTAGGCTTGATGATATATTTACAAGGAAGCAGATCATAAGTAGCAGCAGTTGGTGACTTACTCTGTGTGTGTTTGCATATGTATAAAACTCATTTAATAAAGCAGCAATGAAAACTGAGAGCAATCCAAAATCAGTATTATATTATCCATCCTTAATATCATCTGTTCCTGGACTGTTGTTACTCTATTATCTCATTGTTACAGATACTCTCTCAGTTAATTTTTTACCATCACACAGCCATATTTTACAGATAAAGATGCTGTGAATTTGAGAGCCAGTAACATGCTCCAGCAAGCACACATCTTGTAATTAGCAGCCAGTGACACTGTGATCTGGATTCCTCTTTGGGTAATTTGGAATGTTTGGCTGCACCATGAGCTCCTTCAGGGCAAAAACTGTTTAACTGCTGTGATACTAAATTTCACATAGTAGGGGCTCAGAAACACTAGTTAAAATGTTGAAGTCCTCATTAGAAGCTTTATTTCATTATTTCTCATCATGTCTCATTATTTCCCCAAATTAAAACTATGAGTGGGAGTGGGTTTTTGGATGTGTTTAAACTGGGTTTCCTTTAGAAGGAAAAAAATCAAAGACACCCAATGGTTACAAATTATTCTTATAATTTTACTTTAATATGCACAAATATGAAACTAGGTATAAAAAATCTCTATGCTTAAAGGTACGCTTTTTTGGCTGTAAAACTAACAATTTATAAAGATATGCAAATAAAACTACAACATTGAAATTAAGAAGATTCAGTGAAACTTCAGATTATGCTTTTTGTCTTAAACATAATCACTTCTGACTGAGAATACACTTGCTGCCTCTTCTCTGTATGCTGGGATGCAAGTTCTCTCTCGAGTGCCATGCCCTCATTCCCTGATATGTGTGGGCCATCTCAGGTCTGGACCACTCTTCTTTCTGGAACAGTTGGCACACTTTAGCTCTCTGGGTAATTCATAAAGTAAATTTTCTTTCAGGTAGTGGAAGGTATTACTTAAATACTGCCTGTCATTTTTTATTACTTGTGAAAAGGAAGTGATACTTTACTCTGATGTAGTTATTCTGGTTTCCTGAAGTACAATTAAAGGTCTCATTAATTTTAGTAACTGAAGGTGCTGAAGTTTTGTTCTATTAAAAATATTATATAAATTATGTAAATTAGCCTACAGATTCGGAATGTCTTGAAGCTGTAGATAATTTGTTTCACTAAAATTGAGTGTAAGTATTTCCAAACAAGTTAGGCAAAAAGTATAATCCTTATAAAATTTTCTATGCCTCATAGTCATATTGACCTTGGGTGCTAATACAGTAACTTTTACATGTAATCATTTTTGTTCATGATTGGACATGAGCAATTTTCTCTCCCATTATTTTTTTAACTTTGCTTTCATACTCTCAAATGTTTATATGCTCTTTTTCTCATTTATGAAAATATAATAACCTCAATTAGCCAATGTTAATACTCAGTAAAAAAACACCACTTACAAAGGTAGATTTTGTGTAGTGTTTTCTGTGTGCTATTCACAGAATTACCTTCCTTCTGAGCTTTTCATTCTTCAGTTTTTGCTCACACTTGAAAAATAGACAATGTCCTTTAGATTTATTTCCTTGAGGAGTTTTGCCATTTTCCCAAAAAACAAGCAAAGAAACAAACAAACAAACCAAACCTCCTGAGTATTTAAGGTCAGTTAAACATATTTAGGCAACTTCAAATTCCTAGGAAATATCTGATTATTTGGTAGCTGTCTGCCAAAATGATTTTAAACTTAATTTATTTCAATGTCAATCAATGGGCTGAGACATATTCACTAGGTAGAATATAAACATTTTGCCTTTGCTTCTGTGGATGGAGTTCTCAAGTTCTGGTTTCTCACCTGACAAACACTCAAGAGGAAAGGCTCATTGATCTGCCGAGTACTGCCAGCTGTAGGACTTGTTTCTCCTTCAGTAATGTTATCCCTTGAGTTTGTCCAGCCAGAAAAGTGCTGATTTTCTTTCCAAACCACTGGCAGTGATGCAAATGTAGTGTGTGTGTATGTATGTCCGCGTGCCCCTATGTATGTGTAGGTGTTTACACACATACAACAACAACAAGAGGGCCTGAGTACAAAGACAAAACCTAGCATTCTTTTAAGGACGGGATTCAAACAAGTTGTGGAGTAATTGGTGGAGTTGGTGAGGCCAAAGGCAGCCCACTTGAGGGAAGAGGCTGTCAAATGCCTCTCCTTCATTCAGTGTCTGGCAGAACAGCCCCATCCTCCTGCAAGATTCAGGGAATGCCCCCTCACTCCATACAGCATCCAGGGACATACCCCCCTTCACCCAGGGTGCAGGGAATACTTCTTCTCTACATTTTCCTCAAGGGAATACTCCTGCCTCCATTTCAAGGGTCCCAGGAAATACTTCTCCCCTCCATTCAAGGCCTTGAATACCCCCTCTCTCCATACAGGGCCAAAGGGAATACCTCTTCCCTACATTTTGGTCAAGGGAATACTCCTGCCTCCATCCAGGGTCCAGGGAATACTCCATCCCCAATACTGGGTTGCACAGAATGCTCCTCCCTCCATTCAAGCCCAGGAATACCCTCTCTTTCCATACAGGGTCCAAGAATAAGTAGTCCCTCATTCTAGGGCAGAGGTGGGAAACACAAGGCCTGTAGGCTTAATCCAGCCCTCCACTTTGTTTTATCCACACCATCAACATGTTTCTACCCTGTGGAAGTGCTGAGCTCTGGCTAAAGAATTAAGTAGTAGTTAAATTTACACAGTCCTAAAATTATCTGCAGCCCTTTCAAGGCAACCTGGAAGCTGATGTGGCACTCTGTGAAAATGAGTTTGATACCCCTGATGTAGGGTCACACAGAATATCCCCTCCCTCCATGGTCCCAAGGTGTACCCACTCCCTCCATTCAGGATCTTGGGAATACCTCTTCCCTCCATTCAGGGTCACAAGGATACCCCCTGCCTCAATCCAGAGTCCAGGGCATCCACCCTAACTCCATAAAGAGTGCAGGATATACCTCCTCCCTCCATCCAGGGTCCCACAGAAACCTCTACCCTCTGTCCAGAGGCCCAGGGGATGCCTCCTCACTCCATCCAGAGTGTCAGGGAATACCTTCTCCCTCCATCCATCCAGGGTCCCAAGGAATATCCCTCCATCCATCCACAGTCCTGGAATTACCTCCTACCTCCATCCAGAGTAGCAGGGAATACCCTGTCACTCCACTCAGACTCCCAGGGAATAGTCCACCCTTCATTCAGGGCCCAGGGAATACCCCCACCCGCCATCCAGGATCCATGGAATACCTCCTTCCATACAGGGTCCCACCATATCCCCTCCCTCCATCCATGGAGATCCCAAGCTGCACACGATGGGGCATGGGTGAGTGAAGAGAATCTTGCACACTTATTTTAAAATTTGAAAGGTAACGGTTTTGCACACACGGACCAATGAAACACCTTTAATTATATAGCAACCAATAACTTTAGGAAGTAAAAACACTCGATCATAAAAACTTAACTGAACATTTCATAGGACAATATGGCAACAGGCATGCTCAGCACGGTGGCCAGCGCAAGTCACCCCGCGGGTATTGGGCAGGCAGTCCTTGCTCAGTTCTTGCTGTCCCCCAGACTGAGCTTGTCAAAGAGGGACTCTGCCAGGCTCTCTTCCGGGGCCGCCAGCTTGCGCAGGTTGTTGATATGGTCCCCCAACTCTTGGATGAATATCTCTTGTTCATGTACGTAGTGATGCCTGAGGAAGTTGCAGACGTGGCCGTGCTTCTCTTTGGCCAGCTGTTGCAGACTCAGCAGGCTCTGGTGCACTCTCTTCGCCAGCTGCAAGGCACACTCCAGGACACTCACGCCATTCTTCCACTTGTCTTCCTCAGGCCTGGGGATGTACCATAGGCGGGGGTTGCTGGCATTCCGGTTCTGCAGCCCGAGCAGATACTCCGCGTGCTCCCTCTCCTTGTTCGACTGCCGAAGGAAGAACAGGCTGAAGTGCTTCAAAGCCACATCTCCACGGCCGAAGTAGCAGGCCTTGGACAGGTACACGTAGGAGGCGAACAGCTCCAAGTTGACCTGGTTGTTGATGGCGGCCTCACACTCGGGGATGGCAGTTCTGACGCACATGCCAGGGTGCAAAACGCAGTCGCCATGTCTGGTAGCGCAGGTGCGGGCTGGGGGGCACCGACGTGAAGAAGAAGTCCTGGAAGCAGGAGCTGGAGATGTGAAGTAGCCTCTGAGCGTCCCGGGTGAGTCAGCGGCAGTGCACAGGGGCGGTGCTCCTGCGGTCTGCAGCAGAAGACTGCTGTTTTTCTCTGAGATGGAACCGGAAAAGGAAAGGTGGGACCTGAAGACTGAAAAATGTGACGAATTCTCGCGGGTGTTCTGGAGAAGGCGCGAAGAGGATCCCTGGGAAGGGGAGTGGCAAAGCGGGGTGCGGTGGGAGGGGTTGTCAAAGTGGGCAGTGCACAGGAGTCCTGTTCCTGGTTGCATCACAGCCTGGGTGAGGCGGGGAGAATGTGTTCTGACCTCTTAGCATTTAATGTTTTCAATTTTTCAATAATATGTCCATGTTGCAAGGACTTTGTCCTCTAATTCCTTCTATAGGAGACATTTTTATTGTATAGATCCGTTTTCTTCCATTGAAGTTCTGAGAATATGAATTTGAATTTTTGGTAAAATTCTCTTCTGTTTTCTGTGTTATATCGGGGTTCGCCCTGCCCAGAAACAGTTCTGTGTATTCCTTGTCTTTTTTTATTTTATCTTCCTCATACATCTGGCAAACCTGTGTTCCTGTACAGTTAGGAATAAATGACATATTTGATCCGCTGAGGTAGTGAGCACAGGTCTGGTCCGGTGCTGTGATGTGCATTTCCCTACAGGGCGTCTGCTGCAATGGAAGCCTGGAGTGTGCTGAGTTATCAGGGGGTGTTCCTTTGAGGCTACATGGCATGGCTTATAGGTAGGACAGGGACAGTCCTTCTGACCAAAAATAAATACGATATTTCTGACATTGGGAGACTAATACTTTTATTCTTCTAGGTAGATGTGTCCTATTGTGTCCCTTTCTCTGCATGTCTGCATTGTGTTAAGCTCATTGACTGTCTTAGGAGTGTACTTTGGGGCAGATTAAAGGTGTCAGATGCCACAGTTGAATAAAATTCACCTGTGAAGCCATCCAGTCCAGGGCTTTTGTTTGCTGGTAGGTTTTTTTGTTTGTTCGTTTTTTTGTAATGACTGCGTTGATTTCCTTAACTGTACGCCATGTGTTCAAATTTCCAGTTTCTTCTTGATTCAGCTTCAGAAGATTGTATGTTTCTCAGAATTTATTCATTTCTTCCAGATTGTCTCATTTGGTGGCATATACTTGTTCATGATAGTATCTCTTTTTTGCTACTGCTTACACACCTTAAACATAGATATTATTATGTCAGTCTCATTGTACTAGTGGGTGGGTGATCCGTGCCCACTGTGGGTAAATAACACCTACTGTGCATGAATGAGTCAGCATGGCAGGACTGGCACCACTGTCTTTAGAAAGACCTCCTCTAGAAGGTTGGGCCCACTTGGGCCTGGTGTCTGGGAACTTTGATTTAGGGAAGTGTTCCTACCTTTTCCTAATTGATAAGCATAGTCCTTGTGCCTAGAGTAGGGTAAACAATATAATTTATACTGAACACATGGTTTTTGCTGCTGTGTATGAAGTCTTGATACTTGCTAGGCCAAGGTTGCCTACATACCCAGTCCCTGATACAAAACCTGGAGCACTGGGTCTACGAAGAGCTTCAGAGCCTCAGAGTTATCTACAAGATGGTTCCACTTGGATGTCCAATTGGCATCTCAGGTTTTTGTGCATGATATGGCAGATCCCACACCTGGAGAAAAAAGTCTTCAAATTTAATAAACAGTGCTAGAATCAACCCAGGTATTCAATTCTAATCACCAGTACCCAGATTATTTTCCTGGTCCCTCACTCTTCACCTCTGGCCCATAAGCTGAACTTATCAGCTCATCCAGTCCCTGTGGAATTTGCCCACCTCTCTTCATTTTCTCAGTCACCACCAGAGTTCAACCCCCAGTGCCTTTCACCTGGATCAGCTAGAAGATCTCTTAACTGGTCTGCCAGCCCTCAGCTCTCCCCCCCTCCCTCTACATTCTTGAAAGCATTGCATCACTGATAACGTGCAGGGGAATGTATACTACTTCATATTCAATACCAGAAATTTGACCTTCAGCCTTGATCTTGTACTTCTCCCATCCTGTGGATATAATTTCATGTTTGGGAGTATCATGTTTGCCGTAGTGAAAGAAAGAGGACAAGCTGAAGCAAAAAGCTATATTTGGAAGTTTTGTAAGGGTACAAGGCATGACGAGCATGGGGACCTTGGGAAAGACATTCTCATTTCTCTGGGAAAGCCATCCTAAGGCTCAGCTATCATTGCAGTTTCTCAGTGAGAGCTTGTGGAAGTGGTAGTCTACAGGGAACAGATCTGTGTGGCGTGGGGAATGTAGCCCAGCCCCTGAATGAGAAAAATCCAGTGGGGAGCGAGTCCACACACAAGACCCAGGCCCACGGATAGGTTCTCCCATGAGGGAATCAGGCCTGCATTGTACCTAGGCTGCTATGAGTCTTGCTCTTTGCTAAAACTGCTCTCAGCCCTGGATTGAGGCAGCAAATGTTTACTGCATACCTTTAAAGTAATTTACTAAAAGCTATTGCTAAACCTCCCCAAGTGTGGAGTGTAACCAGTTCAAACCACTTTTCCCCTTGGTCTGCCACATCCTTCTCTGTGAAGTAGTTAGCAACATTCTTTCCTTTGTTATCTGTAAAAGGCAGTCATCTACTTAGGGAACCTGTAGATAGTAAATGAGGACCACCCTGGATGTAATGTACCCAGAAAAGCAATAAAAGCCTGTCCAGGCAGTTGTCCTGGCCTTCTCTCTCACTTAAAGAGCGTCGAGGCGGTCCCTTTTTCTCCACAGGACTTCTGTAGTCCCAGTGAATGTGTTCCTCACAGCCACAGCACAGGGACCCCGCGAGCTGGGGTCTGCATCAGTACTCTGCCAAGATTGCTTCTGAGATCTTCATCTTGCTAGACAGGTATTGTTTAGAAACATTAACATTTGCATACTATAGTGAAACTACAAACATATAAACTAAAATGTAAGAACCCTCTGATTCTTGCCCTATCTCACTTCTCTGTTTTCTTGGCCACTGGCAAGCACAGCAATAATTTTAATGGCAGGCTTTGTATTTTGAGCATGGACATGCATCTATTTTCACCAGGGCATCAGACCATCCACCTGACTGCCCCCCCTGCCATATGCCACATGGTGCCTAAGGAGAAGATAAAGTCTACATTTTCCAGGGTCCCATGGAAAACTCTTTCACTCCATCCAGAGTCCAGGGAATACGTGCCCTGTCCATTCTGTGGCCAGGGAATACATACTCCCTCCATTCAGGACCAGTATATACACCTGCCTTCCATGTGTAGTCCAGAGAGTACCTCCGCCCTCCATCCAGAGACTGTGAATAATGCCTCTGTGCATTCAGGGCCCTGGAAATACAACCTCCCTCCATCCAGGTTCCATATAGTATGCCCTCCCTCCATCCAGGGTCCCTACAAAATGGCCTCACCCTCCTATAGGGTCAAGGGTGTATGCCCTTCCTCCATCCAGGTTCCAGGGACAGCCCTCTCCCACCTGCTATTTTCCCTAGGCTCTCTCCTAGAGCCTATAACCCCACCCTCATTGCAGTGTGCAGGGAATTACCCTTCCATTCATGCAAGGGCCAGGAAATGAAAGCTCCCTGAATCCAGGGTCAAAAGAATAGTCCCATCCTGCTCTAAGTTTCAGGAAATACCACTCCCTCCAACCAGTGACCAGGGAATACCTCCTCCTCAATCTAGGGCCAAGAAGATACCATCTCCCTCCTTTCAGGGTCCAGAGAATATTCCACCCACAAGACTGGGTCCCACGGAATGCTCCTCCCCCATCCAGGGCCCAGGGAATACCTCTCCCCTCCAGTTTAAGGCCATGAAATACCCTCTGTCTCCATCCAGGGCCCAAGGAATACCTCCTGCCTCAATCCAGCACCCCAAAAAATAACTTCTTGCTCCATCCAGGGTCCAGGGAATACCACCTCCCTCTGCCCAGTGTACAGGGAATAACTTCTCCCTCCATGCAGTATCCCAGGCAATCCCCCTCCCTATATCCAGGGTCCAGGTAATGGCCTTTCCCTCCACCCAGGGTCCACAAAATACATCCATCTTCCATTCAGGGCCCAGGGAATACTCTCACCCTCCATCGGGGGTCCCAGGATACCCCCCTGGCTCCAGCCATTATTCCTCAGAAGACCCCACCCTCCTCCAGGGATCAGAGAATACCTCCTCCCTCCATCCAGGGTCCCATGGAATGTCACACCCTCACCCAATGTTTATCCCTCTCTTCCATTAAGATCCAGGGTACAGCCCCTCCCTCCATCCTGGTTCCTAGGGTATGCCCCCTGCATCCATGGTCCAGATTATACATTGTCCTTCCATTCATGGGATAGAAAATATGACCTCCCGCCACCCAGGGTCCAGGTAATATTCCCTCACTCCACCCTGGGAACCACGGGATGCTCCTCCTTCATCCAGTGTCTCACAGAATAGTCCCAACCTCCTCCAGGGTTCAGGGATACCACCTCACTACATCCACAATCCCAGGATAACTCTTCCCTCCATCCAAGGCCCAGGGAATACCTCCTCCCTCAATCTACGGCCAAGAAAATACAATGTCCCCCCCCATTCAGGGTCCAGGGAATACTCCACCCACAAGACTGGGTCCCATGGAAGGATCCTCCCTCCATCCCTGGTCCCAGGAATAGCCCTTCCCTCCATCCAGGGTCCACAAAACAGCTCCCTCCATTCAGGGCCCAAGAAACACTCTGTCCTACAATCCAGGGTCCCAGGACACCGCCTCTGTCTATATAGTGTCCCACAGAATAGCCCCACCCTCCTCTAGGGGTCAGTGAATACCCACTCCCTCCTCCCAGGTTCCTGGGAATAACTCCTCTCTCCATCCATCCTCCCAGGGATACCCCCTCCCTTCATCCTCCATCCCTCAGAACACCTGTTCCCTCTATCCAGGTTCCCAAAGAAGTTTTGCACCCTGTATCCATGGTCCCAGGGAATATGCCCTCCCATCCACAGTAATCCTGATCTACCAGTGATGGGGTGTGTTTTGAAAGAGACACTCCTACATACCTGTTTCATTACCTAGAAGGTTTGGGGTTCACACACAGGAATCAATGAAACACCTTTATTTAGGAACCAATAACTTTATTGGAAGGAATGGTAAGACAGGAACATAAAAAACTTAAGTGAAGGTTTTGAAGGGCAATAGGCATGCTCAGCACGGTGACCAGGGGAAGTCACCCCATGGCTATCGGGAAGGCAGTCCAGGCTCAGTTCTTCTCGCTGTCGCCCAGGGTGAGCTTGTCAAAGAGGTCC